CCTCACACTCTCTCTAAAAATCAATGGAAAAATATCCTCTTGTGAGGATCAACAAAAACAACACAAAACAAACAAACAAACAAAACAACCAGGGGAAGCTCAAGGGTCTCCTCTCCAAGGTGCAGGGGTAGGCTGTCTCCTGATACCCCCAGTGATAGGCGTGTCCCTGGGCCTTGAAGGACTCTCGCTGGGTGGGGCAGGAGCCAGGCTGAATGGGGTTGGCTCACTTCTTTTACTCCTAACAGATACACAGCCCAAGGAAGTCCAGAAGGTGCCGCCAGGTCTTCCATCCACGGTGAGTTGTGAGATGGAGTGAAGACCCCACAGACCACATGCCTCTCCTGCCCTTCAGGTTTGGGGGCTGTCCCTGCTGGAGGCCACACAATGTCATTGGGGGCACTGGGTCCAGGACATAGGGATGTGTGTTCTGAGCAGTCCCATGAGTGAGCTGGATGTGTGCACTTGGCCAGAGATGTTTAGTAGCTCAGCCGTAATCACTGTGAAGGTTGCTGTCCCCTAGTAAATTTTTACTAGTATGTCTGCTCTGACAAGGACGGTGACAGCATGCTTTCCTACCCTCCAGCATCTTTCCCGTATATTCCTCAACTGGATGTAACAAGGAGCAGACACATTCATGGCTGTCACATCTGTACTGCCGAATGGACTATCATCCAGTTTTTAAGGATTTCTCAGAAATGGCACCAAGTCTAAAACACATCATAAATGAAACAGACTTGACATCATAAAAATTAAACCAGCCCTGGTTGGGTGGCTCAGTTGGTTGAAGCTTTGTTCTGTACACCAAAAAGGTTGCAGTTAAATTCCCAGTCAGGGCACATACCTAGATGTGGGTCAGGACATATGGGAGGAATAGATAGATGTTTTTTTTCTCTCTTTCCCTTCCTCTCTCCAAAATAAATAAAAACATATCCTCAGGTGAGGATAAAAATAAATAAATAAATAAATAATCCCCTGAGACAAATGAAAAACCTCCATTATTAACAATAGTTTGTAAGTTGGGAAAAAACAGCTGCAATATAGATCACAAAAGATGAGTAAGCATCCTGCCCAGCCAGGTGGCTCAGTGGTTGAGTACTGAACTATGAACCAGGTCATGGTCTGATTCCTGGTGTGGCCTCGATCCCCAGTTGCGAACATGTATGAGGCAGCCAATCAATGATTCTCTCTCATCAATGATGTTTCTCTCTCTTTCTCCCTCTCCCTTCCTCTCTGAAATCAATAAAAATATTTTTAAAATAAAAGATAAGCAATCTTCTTATATAAAAATTCTTGCAAATAAAAAACATCAGTATAGGGTGGGGCTACGAGACACTATGGGGAGGTAGCATTGAGTGGTTAGCTGGGATCGTTACTAAATTAGTTTCAGCTTTTCCATAAGTAAAATGGGGATGATAATAACACCTATTTCGCTGACCTATGAGGACAGAAGACTCACAATCAATGACCCAGTTTGGGTACCTGGCATACAGTGCTCAAGAAATGGTGACATTAGTCATTGCTAACAAGTGTTATGATTCCTTTTGCTAAAAAGTTTATAACGCAGCAAAAAAGGAACCAACAACTGGGATAGATCTCCAGTAAGTTATGCTGAGTGGACAAAGCCAACTTTGGAAGGTGACAAGTGGGATGGGTCTGTGTATCTAATATCCTCAGCAGGACAAAATGTAGAGATGGAGAACACTAAATTAGTGGTCGCTGGGTGCAAGTGACTGTGAAGGGGCAACAGGAGAGTGGGATGATGGAACAGCTCTGTGTCTCGCTTGTGGTGGTGGCTTAATGGCGCTAAATGTAGGACAAATTGCACAGAACTATACATACACACACACATGCTCACACATGCACTGGTGAGCCCTGAATAAATTGCACTGTACCAGGTCATCTTCCCAATCCCGTATTATGTTACAGACATGCTATATGTCTGGGAGGCCGGGGGAGAACACGGGGCCTTTCTGTATATTTCTTTGCAATGTCCTGTGAATCCACGATGATTTCAAAAGACCCAGTGTTGGTTAAGGGGTGAGGACATTTCACAGTGAATACACGGCCACAGTCAGCCTAGTGATTGTCCCCAGAGGACAATCACACACATATGTTGCAGGGTCCTTACAAAGACCCAATGTGAAGGCCACCTCTCCTAAGTGTTAGATGTTGACCAAAGCATGTTAGCTTTACACAAACCAAGAAAACTGTGGAGAAATTAAAAATAGAGACACTTCCTTTAGTCTGACAATGAGCACTCCCTGATGTCTCATGTGGCCTTGAACCCTGTAGTCTTTGGCAGAGAATGCACTGTCACGTAGAGATCTGTGCCTCAGGGTTTCCCAAAAGGGAAAGACTGGAAAAACTATTCTTGTTTTAAATGTCTTCCAATCCAGACAATAACTAGAAAGCCTCAGCCTGGCATTGATTGGTCGTCAGTGCCTTTCTGACACCATTTTTTCAAAGCAGAGATGGCCCAGGCAGCCATGGGCAAGGCTGCCCACAGACCCTCAACATGCCACTTAGCTACTAGTTCAGTTACTTTCAGAGACACCTCCTACTTAGGACCAGGCTGCTGATTTTCTGATAGGAAATGACCTTTTGAAATAAACTTAACAGAAGCAAGTTAAAGTCAACACCAGGAAAATGCCTGGCCGGGACTTATAAGGAGGTGTGAGGAGATTGTGGCTGGAGGACCTATTAGCATTTAGAAACTTAAAAAAATAAATAAAAATGTGTTTTTAATTGATTTCAGAGAGAGGTAGGGCGATATAGAAACATCAATGATGAGAATCATTGATTGGCTGCCTCCTGCACGGCTCCTACTGGAGTTTGAGCCAGCAACCCCAGCATGTGCCTTGACCAGGAATGGTACCCTGACCTCCTGGTTCATGGGTCAACGCTCAACCACTGAACCACACCTTTGGGCACATTTGAAAACTCTTAAAATATCTGTATCTATATCTATATCTATGTCTATATCTATATCTATCTATCTATATATTTCTTTATTGATTTCAGAGAGGAAGGAAGAGGAAGAGAGATAGAAATATCAATGATAAGAGAGAATCATTGATTGGCTGCCTCCTGCACGCCCCCTACTGGGGACTGAGCCGGCAACCCGGGCATGTGCCCTTGGCCGGAATGGAACCTGGGACCCTTCAGTCTGCAGGCCAACACTCTATCCACTGAGCCAAACCAGCTAGGGTGAAAACTCTTGATAGTGTCCCCCTTAAACTGACATAGTCTGTCTGGAAGGAGGGTGATGAAAGGGGCATGTGTATGTGTGTGTGTGTGAACAAGACCCTCCCTGTCCAGAGGGAGGGCAGGGGCAGCAGAAACCATGGAAAATCAATCTTCAAATATTTATAGGAGTTCCTAGAGAGGACCCTTATACCCTGGGCCATGGCTTTGGCTATTAAGGGCTGCTGGCCTTGTGAGTGGACACCAAATTAGGGAAGACAGCTCAAGGCAGAGACCCAGGGGGAGATAAAGGCACCTCCTCTAGGAAGCCCCCCAGGGTCTGATCCTCTGCCTGAGGCAGGGAAGTGGAAGCACCCTAGCTCCTGGGGGCTATTTCAGGGGGGAGGGATGTGGGGATTTCCATATCTCAAGGAGGACTCTGGCTGTCCCTGCTGCCACTTCCTCAGGCAGAGAGGAAGGCCAGTGCAAGGCAATGGGGGCAGCAACACAATATTTCTCCCTTTGGGGTGGTGCATGAACATAAACCACCCCCTCAACACATCCCCTCCTCCAGCCAGACCTCACCGGATATCCCAGTGGGATTCAGAAATGACTCCAAGATCTCAGAGATGCAGAATGGCATGGCGTCAATCCTGGGATCCCAGAAAGATGCCAAAGTCCACACAGAGTGCCGGAGGTGCTAGAAACCGAAACAGCCAGCCTCCCCAAAGGCTCCCCCAAATCCTCCCAAAAGCCAGAGTAGACTCCCCAACATGCACATGGCAACTCTCTGCTCACAGCCCTCCAGGCTCCCATCTCCTTTGGGACGAAAGCCCAAATCCTCACCATAGCACACAAGTCCCTGCATGACATGCCCCCAACCCCTCCATTCCCTCATCTCCTCCCTCTCCCCCGTTCACTCTGCTCCAGCCACACAATTCTCCTCCCGTTTCTCCAGCACAGTAGATGCCAAGCAAGGTCCTGCCCCAGGGCCTTTGCATGTGCTATGCCCCCTGCCTTGAACTCCTTCACCCTGTCTCTGCTCAAACTTCTCCTTGAAGATCATCCACAACTGGCCTGGTTTTGTGGAAGCTCCCTCCCTGCTTCTCTGCTTCCTGACCTCCGTTGTAGGTTCCTTTAGGCCATACTGCCCATCCTCCCACAGGCATGTCAGGGGCACTCAGTGCCAGGTAGAGTGACCAATTCATACAGGTTTGCCTGGATATACCCAATTTGAATGCTCCAAGTCCCAGTAACCCTCTGAATCCTCCTGTATACAGTAAGGGCCAGGAGCTGGGCCTCTCCCAGGGCTTGCAGGATGGGCAAGATTTGTCAAGGGCTAAAGTTCTACATCATGCCCCTTCTAGACCCGTTTCCCCTTTGGGGATGGAATGGAGACCCAGGACCCCACTGGGGCCAAGAGGACCTCAGAGGCTCAAGCCCCTGTCTCACACAGGACCCCCTTGTGAGTGACACAGAGGCTTCCCATCCCCAGTCCAGGGGCCTAGGTTCCAGGTGCTGGACAAAGGATGATATGCTGACCTCCAGGCTCCCTTCGCTTTACTCAACACAGGTTGTGAGGCCGTGACAGCAGCTTGTTCTCCAGCCCCGACTCCAGTTGCTGGACCTGAGTGCTACCCCCCACCGCCCCAACAGCTCCTCCTCTGGCACCCTGTCCACGAGGCTGCAGCCAGCCTCAGCCCCGCTCCACATTCCAGGTCCGGTGCTGTACCCTGTTCCTGCTCTGCTCCAGCCCATCCTCTACACAAGCTCATCTTTTTATGCAAACTCGCAGTCTCGAGGCAGCGGGATCCTACCTGAGCCTCCAAACTGGGTGCCAGCCAGGGAGGTGGGCCGGCCTTTCCCATTGGCCACTGGCAGCGGAAACATCTGTGGGGAGGCAAAGAGAGGTAAATGAGGTGGCGGGGGGTTAGGGGGCGCACATCCAGGGATGCAGCTCTACCTAGGGGTCCTATCTCATCAGAAGGCCCAGGCAGGGAAAGGCAGCCAGGCTCACTACACACTGCCTGAGCAGAGAAAGGCTCTCTTGGAGAAGTCCTTAACCAAGCCCCTCTGACAACACAGCCCATCACTGGCAACAACTGTCCAGTGGAAGTTAAAACCTGTTGTTTACACAAGCTTTATATTTTTCCAGGTTTGCATTTTTTTGGATGGACTAATTATTTAGGTACTTGATACAACTTATCTTTTGTTAGATGTGATACACAGTATTCTTTAAGTTTCAGCTTAAAAAAAGTGAAACCATTTACACCTAGTAGGTAGACCCTGCCTAGCCCCTCCAGTCCCACAGGTCACCATGTGCACATCCCTGACTTGAGTGGCAGTGATATAGGGAAGACAGTCAGGTCCCACTGCTGGGGCAGACAGCGTGACCTAGATGGAGTGTCTCCCACGTGCTGGGCTCTGTGCTCAGCAGCTGCCTGGGCAGCCCTCACCATACCCTGACTGCTGATGCCGGCCTGCCTGCCTTTCAGAAGAGGAAACTGAGGCTCACAGAGGTGGGAAGCTGAAGGGACCAGGAAGGGCTATACCTGCCATGGCTGAGTGATTCCCTAGGCACCATCCTCCATGCCCAACCCTGGGTGTTAAGTCCCTATAGATTAAACAACTTAGTAGTACTAATGGGAAAACCCAACATCAACAAACCTGTTCCACAAAAAACAACCAAAACAAATCTTTGCCATGTCCTATAGATCTGGGTTTTACAGATTTCGTTTGGGGCTCAAGTGATTAAAGTAGCTGGAATCGAGGCCAGTGGCCCGTTGGGGAGTGGCTGAAGGCTCCCCCAAACCTTTCTGGGCCAGCCAGAATATGAGGATGCATCTCACCTGAAGGTATGACTCTTATGTGGGTACCATGAGACTGGGGAGGGGCCCAGGGAGTGTGGTCCTGTCTCCCATGCCCCATTCTAGAGGAGGAGAAACTAAGCCCACAGGCTCAACTGACCCTGGCAGGGGCTAAGAGCATAGGCTCATGGGGTCTGCACCCCGCTTGGGAAATGTGTTTGTGTGGCTGTGCTTCCTCAGCTGGGCCAGCCTCTCCAGGGCCCTATTCTCCAAGATGGACCCTCTCCCACTGGTGAAACTGAGGCCCACATTGGGGGAAGGGCTGGCCTAAGCCAGGACAAGAACCAACAGGGCCCGATGCCTGGAGATCAGCAGCCAGCCCCTGGGGCTTGTCTTTGTTTTGTCCCCTAGAGTATCAGGGGCTGACGTGGCACTTGCCACAGGGGGCAATGGGCTGTGTCCTTTGGGCGCTGTGGGCCTTGTCATCAGCCCAGATAGGCCCATACCCCTGAACCTTGGTATTCTCTTCTGTGAAATGGACTTGGGGCTTTGACCACATGGGATGTTGTGAAACCCCAAAGCACATGGGTGTCTTGGGCACTTGGGGGCCTCAGTACACATGCCAAGCTCAGAGGGGAACCCAGTCAGGTCCAGGGCAAGGGCTGCCAGACCCCCTGGTCTCCCCAGCCCCTCATCAGGCAGAAGGACCATCTCTAGCCCACTCAGGGATCATCACCTCAACACCTTCCTCTTCTAACTCAGAAAACTCAGGAACAATTTAAATTGGGTTTCCTTTGTTCCTTTGTATTTAATTTTGACTGTTGCCTTTTCTACTTTTGAGAAACTAACCCCCCAAAAAAGAGCTGCTTCCCTTTAAGTTTCTTTGTTTCAGTCTAAAAACAAAGTGGTTCAAAGAAACAAATTAACTCAGTTTCTGTGGGGCAGGTGAGAGGGGGCGCTATGGAGGAACAGAAGGGACCTGAGCTAAAATAGGTGGCGGCCTCTGTGCCCACTGGCCAGGCCACTCTCTTATAACGGGGGACAGTGAAAAGCCAAGCTCTGAGTTCCTCTGAGAGGACACCAGGCACCTCACCCTCTCAGCCTGTTTCTTCATCTGTGAAACGAGTTGCTGCTTTTCATCTGGGGAAGGGGAAACATTCAGACCCTTTAGACAGAAGAGGGAGGCTGACAAGTGGTTCAGGGTTCTCAGACAGAGGAGGCGAAGGGGTCAACTCTAAACCTGTGCTCCCCCATCCCCAAGCGGGTCTGTTCTGGCCCAGTAGTCTGTGACTTGTCAGTTTAACAAAAAAAAAAGTGAGCTGTACCCGTGGTTACTCAGCCAGGGAGGCAAAAATAAAACGGCTTAAAAATATGAGCCTGGCCCTTCCTGAGCCGAGGCCCCCTGTCTCAAGGGCTGTTTTTCTGCAGGATGGCTGATATTTCAGTTTGGGGACTTGTTTTTGACAGACCTCAGTGGCCTGAGCCTCATACTAGTGGTGGGTTAAATTCAGATCGAAAGTGTCCTCCCCCAACCTATTTCAAACCAAAAATGGTGCTTGGGTGGGGGGAGGGGGGAGACTTAGGGAGCTGTCCATGCTGGGTTCCTGGGTTCGTGTGGATCACCCGAACACCCGCCACAGGCGGCCCACTGCACAGATGAGCAAGCCAAGGACCCTGGTCCAAGGTACACTCCAGCTCCCAGCACCCAAGGGAGCTCTGCTCTGGTTTCTGGTCTCACTGGGCTTGTCTGAGCTGTGTGACCTATGGAAGCCAGTACCCTCTCTGAACCTCCATCTACATGGCAGGGAAATGGGCAGTTCAGGGTGGATCAAACCGCCCAAAGTATAAGGATTCTCACCTTTCCCCATGGGGCCTGCGGCTCCCCAACAGTAACAATGGCAGTAACAGTAGTGGTGACTGAGCGCTGCCCACAAATTCCCACACTGTTCATGAGGTCTCCTCCTGTCACCTGACTGCTAAAACCATGGACACTGCCCCCCCCCCCCCCCCCCCCCGCCGCCTTTTAAAAAAATCCATAACGTAGCAAATAACCCTGATCACACCCATTTTACAGATCAGGGCTGAGCCTCCCCTTGGAGACAATGGAGGCTCTGGGCAGTCCCTCCCACTCTCTGGGCCTCAGTTTCCCCACCTGTAGCATGGACCCACTCTATGCCCCAACAAACGCCTGGGTGACAGGTGCCTTTGGAAGCTGACAAGGGCCCCAATTATGTACACCGCAATGGGGTGTTGGCCTGCCCCCAGAGGGACACCCTAACTCCCCCAGCTCTACCCAGGGGCTTCTCCACCCAAACAAGGGTGAGGTCTGGCTGTTGGGGCTGTTTCAGTTGGTGCTTCTTTCCCAGGAATCCTGCGGGTGCACAGGGTGTATGAGAGATGGGCGGGGCCTGGCTTACCATGCTGAAGTCCAGGAGGTCACTGAGCTCTTTGTCGGTGCCCACCGGTGGCATCCTCTGCGGCTGGTTCATTCTCCAGCTGCAATGGTGGGCTCAGGGGCCAAGGTGGGTACCTCAGTCCTAGAGATGGCCCTGCTGGGTAGCCCGTGGTGGTGGTGAAAGCAGGGAGGGGCAGGGACAGACACATAAGGAGAAACGGACAGGAGGAAAAAAACTTTGAGACTGTGGCCTAGGTAGACAGATGGGGAATAGGGGAGCTGTTTTAAAAGCCCCTTAAGCCCCTGAGGGTCTGGGTCCTCCTAGACTGAGTCCCTTCCTGACGCTGGGGGGTGGCACAGGGCAGCCAGAATTCCAGCCCCTGGAGAGACCCCTGCCCAGAGCCCTCTGAGTTTGAACAATGAGGGAGAGGGGGAGTAAGCAAATGTAGATTTCCTAATTCCCTCTGCGACCACCAGGGACTCAAGCCGCAAATTTTAAACTGGCAGCAGAGCGGGAGTAGTCCCTTCTCCACTTACTGGGCCCCTCTCCCGCCACATCTCCCATTCCAACCACCCCCAAGTTCACCCTGGCCCCGCCTCTGGGAAGGGGGAGGGGCGACTCAGACCCCGCCCCGAGGAAATTTGCTGACCCCCTCCCAAGCAGCTGTCACAGCACGTTGAAGCCTCGGTCACCCCCAAATTCAAAGAAAAAGAAATCCTCAAGGCGAGGCCCTTTGCCCTCTTCATGACTGAATGGGGGTGGGGGTGGGGGAGCAGAACGGGGACCTATCCTCAAAGCTCCCCTCCACCTCTTCCCCCCACAAAAAACAACCCTAGCTTGTAACAACCCTGATGTATCCGGGAATTATTTTTAAGCAACTTTGAAAACATCTCCTGCCTCCCGCCCCTGGGGAAAGCGGGTTCCTAGACCAGGATCTTCCGCATGGTCCCAGGGGTTCCATTCTAGAACCGGGGGTGGGAGGGTCCACCTGCCAGAGCCCATCCCCCCTCCACCCCACTCCACCCCACGAGAAGGGCGCGCAGCAGGTCTCCGTTGTCCCGTAGACGGACAAGACACCCCTCTGGCTTCCTCCCCGGGTCCCCAGATGTGGGCGGGGGTGGCCGCGGAGACACCGCGGAAGCTGCGGGAAGAGGGGGTTCTGAGCCCGAGGGAGACCCAACTTCAGGGGCGGAGAACTCCCCGCTTTGTTTGTCAACTAGAGACGAGGTGTGAAACGGCTGCCCCCGGGCACCCCCTCCCCCGCTAACTTTTTTCTTTTGGGGGAGGCCATGTGAAACTGACTTTTTGAGTACGAAACCGCAATTTTTTTGTAGGATGGGTGAAACTGATTTTAAAGCAGACTGGGGGGTGGGGGGAGGGCCGAAACGGGCTTTTCTAGGGAGCTAAGACTTTGGGGCGTCACAAGGACTTTTGGGGACTCGGAAAGTATCTGGAACCACTTGGAGAGAAGGGGATCGGAACGTCTTCCTTTGAGGGGGAGGCCCGGGAAACCAGCGGCCCACCCCCCCACAGCCGGTGCCGGCGGCGCGGCCCAGGAGCCCTTTGAAGCTGGGGCGCCACCGCCCCTCGGCTCGCAACACCGAGCCGCCGCCGCCGCCTCTCCCCGCAGTAACGCGGAGCAGATGTTCCCTCCGCACCCCCCCTCGGCCCCCAGCCCTCAACCTGAGCCTCCGTTCGCGCGGCCGCACCTTCCCCGCGCAGACAAAAGGACTCTCCCTCCCTCCCGCCGCTCCCTCTAAACTTCAGCGCCCCGGCTTGCCCCTCCCAAGGGAGGGGGCGCCCCCAAGCCCTCGTGTCGCGGCCGGGGCCCTCGCCGCGAAGTTGGGCGGCCTCTCGGGCGCCCCCCGCGCCCCCTCCCTCGGGTCTGCAAAGTTTCGCGAAGTGGCCGGCCCGGCCGAGGACGGGGTGCGCGCGGGCCTCGCGTGCGCCGGACCCTCCACGTCGTCCGCCCCAACCTCCCGGCGCGCAAAGTTAGAGAACAATGACTCCGGGCCGCCGCCCAGCAGCCGGCCCACAGGGGCCGGGCGGGGAGGGGGGGGGCGCACCCCAGAGCGTCCCTCCCGCCCCAACTTCCCGGCTCCCGTGTCGTGGGGAGGCCCGAAACAACTTTGCACAAAGATGCGGGGCTTCCGACGCCGCGCGGCCCCGGGTCCCGGTGCGGTTACCTGCTCAGCGCGGACCGGCCCGCAGCTCACGGGAAGCGGCGCACGTACGGCCCCCCCGCCCCGACAAAGGGGTGCCCGCCGACCCCGAGGGTCGCGCGTTGGCGGCGCGTGGCCTGGGACCCTCCCCGCGTGCCCGTGTGCGGTCGGGGCACTGGAGGAGGAGGCGTACGGAGAGTACGCGGTGCCGGTTGCCGCGTCCGGTCGGCTCTGTCCGGCCCGCTACGTCCGCGGGCGCCACCGCTGCCTCATCTTCCTGCGGCGGGAGACATGTTCCGTCCCCCGCCCGCGCGCTGGCCACGCCCACTCCAGGGCCCGCCTACGGTCCGCCCCGTCCGGGGACGCCGTGAATCCCTCCGCCACCACCGTCCGAGTGGGCCCCCTCCCCCGGTTCTACGTCCCTTGCGCTCGCAGGAGGCGGCTGCAGCGTCGCGAAGCCCGGAGTCTGGGAGTGGGGGCTCCCCTGGGGTCCGTCGGCAAACGGTGTGGGGAGCGGACAGGGACTATCTTCTAGCGCGGAGGCGCACGTGGGTTGGAGTGCATAGCATCCATGACGCCAGCGGGAAAGGACCGTGAGATGGAAAAATAAGACAGAGCGGTAATGGCCAATCGGAGGGCGCAAAAGCCTGATTGGCGGTGCCACCGGCCATTCGTGAAGAGGCCACGCCCTCTCTCTGCGGACAGCGAAGAAAGAGGCGGGACTCTCCAAGAGAGAGGCCACGAGAAACGGCGGGGGTGGGCTTTGCAGTTTCATTCTCAGGTTTGCGTGGGCGCCCGCGCGGCCTCTCGGGCGTCGTCGAGTCTGCGTTCCTAGGGCTAGCCCAGGTGCTGGGTGTTGCGAGCGGGCGAACGAATCAGACCCATTTCACGGGCTGGGAAACTAAGGCCAGCTCTGTTTCAGGGTCAGAGAGCCCCACGTGGGACTTGCGCTGTGCCTCTGACTCGCTGGGTCTCAGTTTCCCCATCTATAATAGGGAATTTGGACCTGAGTTTGAACAGGACTAAGGCCAGACCAAGCCTTCTGATTCTCAGTGATCTGCCTCTTTGTACGTCCAGAGTTCCCCCCACAGCCAGGGGCTCCTCAGCTTTTGAAGACCACAGACCCTATAGGAGTAATAATTATTATAAATTAACTAACACACTCTTTCATGGCTCCCTGTGCCTCCAGAGAAATAGTTACACTGCTTCCAGGCCTGGGAAGAGGCTACCATCGCCCTGGCCCCTGGACACAGGGCTGCCTCACTGTTCGGGAACCTGCCAGGCTCATTCCCACCTCTGGGCTTTTGTCCTTGTAAACCCCTGGCTGCAATGCTCTTCCACCTCCACCTGAAGCCCCTGAATCAACCTTAGTTCAGGAAGTCCAGGGAGCTGGGCTGAAAGGAGGGAAGAAAAGGGGTAGTAAGGGGGTGAAGACCCAGGGAGAGGCAGGGGCTCCTAATAAGGTCACAAGCCACTCCTAATACACCTGAAGTAGGCTGACTCTCACCCTGACACTGTCTTCCTTCTGGCCCAGAGAGTCCCCCACATGCCCCAGGCCTGGGAAGGGGAGTATTGGGGTCTGGGTTTGAATCCCTCATCCTTCCCACCTCACTGTGACCTTGGGCAAATTCTTGCCACACCCTGGGTCTCAGTTTCTCCATCAGGAGAATAGAAGGGTGCAGTGATGGGTACCGGGTACGCCACCACAGCTCCTGCCTGCATCCCTAGGCCTCTTCACACTAATGGACCTGGGACTCGTAAGTGAAGGCCCCATAACCCCCAGCCCTTTCTGGTGGCCCAACCCTGACCCCACAGGTCTGTGGCCTGTTCTGCTTCCCCAGCCTGGGAGTGGTTTCTGGAGGACCAAGCTGGGGCTGAGGGTAGGCCAGACTCCGAAGGCTATGATTTTAAACTAGAGAGTCTTGCCAGTGTTCCTGGGGTGGCCCTAGACATACCCCCAGAAGCGGGTGATGGTCCATTCATGGACCATGCAATTACTGAGCACCGATTATGTGCCAGGTTTAGTGTTTAACATTAGGGCCCAGTGATACCTTTGATCTGTCCAGTCCCTGTCCTCCAAGGCAAGCTGGGCCATCAGAGCCCCCCCTTTAGTTCCAAATATAGCACTTTCCATCTATACATTTGACTCTCAGGTCCTCATACATACCTGGGTGATTAAACCCATTGTCCAGATGAGGAAACTGAGGCTCAGAGAGCTCCTCCCTGGGGGCCAGGCCAGTCTACCCTAGGGCTCACACCTGCCAAGAGGCCTTCCTGGCACCCACAAGCCACCATTGTCCTCCCTGGGGAGGCCTGGTGTGGGGCTGAGTCACTGGGTGGAGCAGCCTGTGGGGGCCCCCAATAGGCTGCTACCTCTGCCCAGCCTCAAGCCTCGGGTGCACTCTACAGGGTCCTGGCACAGGGACAGGCAGCCAACGGCTGGTGCCAGGGGTCCTCTAGGGAGGCCCACAGCCCACCCCCATCCACCTGACTTTGGCCTTTGTTATCTGGATGCCTTGGGCTGGAGCCAGAGAGCTGCCTCCCCCACCTGCTGCCTCCTTCCACCCCAGCTACACCTACTGTGCTTGCCCCAGTAGGGGACCCGGTGGTGAGAGAGGTCACCCCATTTCTGGTGGAAAACTAATGCCATGCCCTGGCCGGTGGACCAGTGGTTAGAGCACAGACCCGCGTTACCGAAGGGTCTCAGGTTAAATTCCCAGTCAAGGGCATGTACCTTGGTTGCGGTTTGATCCTGGGCCCTGGTCAGGGCTCGTGCTAGAAACAACCATTTGATGTGTCTCTCACTTCTATGTTTTTTTCTCTCTCTCCCCCTCCTTTCTTCCACACTCTCTAAAAAATCAATGGAAAAAAGTATATTATGGATTAGGGGGGGGAAAATTAATGCTAAGGACAGATTCCCACGAGTGTGTGTGGGGATGTCAGGGGATGTGGCACAGTGGTAGAACCTGCTAGAAGACAGTCCCGGTATGGATTTGGGCCACGATTGTTCACGGGGAGAATGTAATTGGACTTGGGACTTCAGGGCCACCCTCCTGACATCTGTTTTCATTTGTCTCTAAAGTGGGTACCTTCTCCTGGAGTGTGAATAGACACCCTCACTCTCCCACCCTACCCAGCTCCTCTCTGCATTTCAGATGTGGCAGGAGGGAGAAGCACTTATCACTCAAGCTAGACCCCTCACACCCACCTCACTTCCTCATCCCAGCTTGTGCTGACAAGTCCATGTTCACCATGATCCCCCCACCCAGGCCTGGATCAGGGCTCATTCATTCATTCATTCATTCATTTATTCATTCTCCCTGGGAGTTCCTTCTGGGCCTGCTGGTTGGGCCTGGGGTTGGGGGGTCACCCTGGAGATGGCATGGGCGGCTTATTAACCTCTCCAGATGAGGGAGGGGATGCTGGCTGTAGTGGGTGTTCAGTGGATGGTGAAGCAGCAGTTCCACCAGCTGCTCCCCAGGCCTGACTTCACTGGCACGCCCAGGTGTGAATATAAGGAAGGGAGGGGGACCCAACAATGCGTTGGCCCCTGCCCCTCACCTTGGACTTGTACTGGGGAGCCCGTGGCCCATGAGAGCTGGGCAGGGGGCTCTGAGGGTGACCAGAGCCACAGCCTCATGCCTCTCATTGCCGGGTGTCATAAAGATCCAGAAGATTCTCTGAATGTCTTCTACAGGACCCTGACTCTCTGGGATGGATCCCCTGACCCAGAGACACTGGGAGTGACCAGAAGGAGGATGGACAAAGAGAGAGGAGCACTCTAGGCGGGGGAGAACAGGGGCAAAGGTAGGGAGGTGGGACTGCACAGGGTGTATTTAAGGGAGCGATGAGGCGGGAGCCCCCAGAATGGAGGCAAAGGAGCCAAGGTGAAAGGGCAAGGCCTCGGATACCACAGGGAGGGGTCAGATCTTCATGGTGAGGACTTTAGGGAGCCATGGGGGAGATTTGAGCCTGAAAGGGACCTGATCCCAGTGGCTGTGTGGGGAGGAGGTGGGATGGTCATTGGGGGAGAGAAGGGCTGGCCCTGGTCAAGATGAATCAGGTAAATTTGGGATAGATTTGAGGGGGAACTGAAGGGTCACCCTTGGGGTGGGGAGGAGGAGACAGCCACCAATCAGTGTGGAGTGTGGGGCTGGGACCTGCATGAATTAATAGTGATGCCCTTCCCCTAGCAAGGACGTCTTGGGGCCAGTGATAGTTAATGAAAAGGGGAGGTCAGGAGGGGTGTGTGGCAGAGGGTGGTGAGTGAGTGAATGAATGGGTAGATGAATGAATGAATGAACAAACAGTGATCTGAACTAAACCCCAAACCCAGACAGAGCCTGACCATGGCACTGCTTCTTTCCCCTGGACACCCTCACCTACCCTGTGAACATCCATCCTCAGGGCTCGAGCCACCAGCTGAGGGCAGACCCTCCCCGCTCCTGGTCTGGTGTCCCAGGTGGCCATAGCTCCTGAGTCAGGGGCCCCAGGGCCTGTCCCACTGCATTCCGGGGCAGCCTGTGAAAACATGGGGTGCTTCCCCACCTTCCCCATGGGCACTGTCTGGCCCAGTTCCCTGAGGTGGTAGGGGGGTGGTGGGAGGGGTAGGCTGCAGGGAGCCAGGCTGGATTCCTGCCGCCCACGCACCCACCCACAGAGTAGCCTCGCTGACCTCTGCTCATGGTGAAATGGAGGACACTCCTGTCCCCCCTTCTCCTGAGATTTCTCCAGATTCCCTGACCTTCTCAAAAGAGGAAGCAGGAATCACCTACTGTTCAGATAGGGAAACTGAGGCGTAGGCCTTCCACCTGGGGCTGGCCAGGCTTCCACACTGGATTCACCTGGTCTCCAAGCTCCTCACCAGCTCCCTGGTGCCTTCCAGAAATGGGGGAAGGGCATTCCGGACTGCCAGCACCTGCGAGGCTAAGGAGTGTGGGTGGGTCTTACTCAAGGGCCCTGGGAAAAAGCCAGGAGGGTGACGTGGTCTCACTGGGGGTATGGGAACTGAGCCTGAAATGCTGAGGTGTCCCTGGGCTGGTGAGGGTGATCGGAAAGAGGGCACAGCTGGGTACAGGCGGGGAGGTGGCATGGCAAGCCATCCCCTCCGCATGCTGAGGGCCATGGAAAGCCTGCGGCAGTTAATGGTACTGACCCAAGTTCCGGCCGCCCTGTCTGGACCCCAACCCTACCCTGGCCTCCTTTCTTGCTCCAGTTCAGCCCACCTCCCTCCTCAAAGCCTCAACAGCCCTCCAGATTCTCCTCTTTACCGTCCTTCAAACACCCGTGAGTTTCCAGGCCTTTGTCCTGGCTGTGCCCTCCTCCCA